GATTTCAATGAGCTATCTGATTCTCTCCTACATCCCACCGTTCCGTTTTTTCGCGTTTGCATGGGATCGCTGGCTAACTTTCAGAGCATTGTAGGCATCCCGCCCGGGACGAGTGACCGCTATGGAAGCTTCTGTGACGGCCTCTGTCATGGCGACCGGTTTGACGTTTGCTGCAGTGTCCGACCGGACAAAGGATGAGGTTCCGTTTGTGCCGCTGTCCGCTGCCTCTGATATGTTCACCCAAAAATCACAATCGCTTGAAAGCGATCTATTTGCCTTTACTCTGGAAGAATCTATTTTGGTCAAGCTGAATGGAAGTGTTCAATCCGCCTTGTCGGGAAGCTTGGGCTCCCTGTTCCAGCATTGGGTCTCTTGCTTGTTGGTTGTAGTTTTCTTTGTCGGCGCTTGTTTGGTAGCATGTTATTTGTTTTTACAATGTTTGGCTTGGTTTGCTTGGTTCACGAAGTCGTTGTCGCGCGGTTTGTAGAGGAAGCAATGAGAAAGGCTGCACGAACCCGTGCACGCGGTGACTTTTATTTTGTCTTTTAGCTGCTTCCCGCCCTGAAATGCCTTTTCTCTTGCATCCTTTCCCCTTGGAGCCGCTACAAAACGCTTTTTCCGGCGCCTGAATGCCTCATATCTTCGCATGTCAAATCAGGGTCGACACTGCCGCTTAAAACTCCCAGACATGGCCCCAAGTCCACTAAATCCAGCCCCCTCGTCTTGCCGGATATCAATGACAAGGCCAACAGGCCACAAGCCCATGAAAACCAAATACCTCCACTGCTCCAATCACTAAGCCGCCTCCGCCTTACGCCTCACGTCTCTCACCCCAGCAGTAGCCCATCTCAAAAGCCCCTCTGAAGACCGAACAACCTCTTCTAGCCTCGCCCGCCCTGACACGGCCCCGCAAACACAGACACTCAATCACACACACCCCGTAAAGGCGCGGAGACTGGAGTATGTGGCTACCGCACTCATACCCTCATGGCCCAACCAAGTGGCCCAGCTAGTGCCACTCTCGCCCCCTGCTGCACGTGGCGCACACGTCACTGGAGGGTCTGGGAAGCTAGGCGCGTTTGCGTGGACGTGTGTGCGTGGGCGTGTTCCTGCATGCTGTTGATTCTGGCTCGTCGTGGACTCGTGCCTGGAAGGTATGCTTGGGGTCAATGCTGGGTACAGTTCTCGCAGTTCGAAGTGGCGTGCTGAGGAGTGGCGCGAATGGGTCGAGGCAGGTAGCTTGCTGGACGTGCCGCCGCATGGTGTGCTAAGCGCGGGCCGCGGCCATGAGATGGGGCGGTGGAAGTTGAAGGCTTGGAGATAGGCAGGATAGGTACATGGAATGAGGGATGGCAGAGGTGCGAGACGACGGAAGGAAGAGCGTTGTCGTGAAAAGCCTTTATATATCCATTCTACTAGGGAAGTTGTAGACGGCATCGCAGACGGCACCACAGAGGACAGGTCCAGCATTACAAGGCGAGCTGGTACTTCCCCTTCCTCTGCAAGCACGGCGGCGACGCGCTAATCTGCTGACTGCCGTTGACGAGGCTGCCTTAGCCCGTTGTTCAGCCAATGACGTAGTGCCATCAGCCGCCGCCCTTGAGCGCCGCCTCCTGCGCGTCTGCGCCCCTCTCCCCCAAACATCCACCCTCCCTCCTTCCCACTTTTCTCACTCCCTTGCTACCATCCACGCCCGCTACTTTTTTCCTCTTTGGAGCTCTTTGCTTACTCCCGCAAGCTCACGGTCTGTTTGAGCTTGTCTCCGTCTTCGGGAACGTCGCGCTCGTTGTCTCTGTCTCTTGAGACTTGTCCCGGTCGCTGACGACGAGCTATCACGCGCCACCTTCGACGACAATGACTGAGCTATGCCTTCAAGCCGCAAACGCAGTGAGCAATTGCCTTGATGACTTCATGCTGTGGCTAGTGCCGTGGCGGGCTGTCTTTTGGCGTCGCTAGTAAGTCGCCTTCCTCATGTCTCACATCCTTTTCACTTCGACTTAAAGCAGAGCTCTTCTGACGTTTATTTCAAGCAAACGTTCCGCCGCCACCGATACCAGCGACCATAAGGACTCTCTCCCGCGTCTCGCCGTCAGGGACCCTCACCCTTCACCTCGCCAGACCGTCCCTCGCCGTTGACCGCCACCCCAAAATGTAAGTAAGCCCAGCACACCTTCAAGCCCCACCCTTGCACACCCCTCCACACTCCGCCGGAATGATTATAACAAGCTCCGGATATCAAAGCTTGTCCTGGTCCTGTCGGATTTCCCGGCTAGAACCGCTCAAGTTCAATGATGGACTTGACAATACGTCAATTACTGCATTTAAATGATCGGCCGCCACATGATGATTTTGATCTCAGTTTGACGGCAGCCCGGCTTCCTTCGGGAGTTGTGGTTGTTAATGATAACTCAGTCAAAGAAAACCATTCTACTTACTGATGGCACTTTGGCAATTCACACGCACACCTTGCATCACCTATTGCTTGATGGACCTTGCTGACAGAGATATGGCATAGGTGTCTGGTTCTCGCTGCAGCAGGATTTCCGGGGTTTCACATCGGCTATGTGAGTTTGACCTTGCTCCTCTTAAGTTCTTCTCGATCGTTTCTGACAAGACCCTGGGCTAGGTAGCTGTCTCGTAAACCATCGTTGAAGCTCTTGCGCAGCGTTCTGTCTTGTAATTCAAAACCTCCTGCTTTCCCTCTCCCTTCCACTCTTGGATGATGAAAACAAAACATGCTTTATGAGGCAGCCCGCCAGACATGGTTGTGGCAGTCGTTGAGGACCTGAGAACTAATTTGACGAGACACGCTTGACTCCCTTGCGCATTCTCATCTTTCTTTTCGAGGAGCTTGCTGACAATCTTTTACAGGTGTCCGCAATGCCATAGACCGAGTTTCTGGGGCCACCGGCTCATGAAGCAACACCGACACTACCACCATCTTTTCTCCCTCTGAACTTCGTCAGCCTAACAAAGCTTATGGCTTTCATGTCTGGTAAGTTTGGACACAAGTCACCCCTCCGCGAAATGATGATTATCAGCCAAAAATGTTAGACAGCCCACTGCCCGATCCGCGTCTGCTTTGTGGTTGTCTATGATCACACAATTAAGAGAACTCTACTGATCGCACTTCCTGGCCGACTGCCAATGATTGATTCTTTGAACGCTGCTAACAACGAACCAGCAGGTCAGCTTCCGCATGCCCCCGGTGCACAAACATTGCCACCAGTCCCAGGCCTCTCAGACCGAGCACTGTTTCCTCCACTTTATGAGGCTCGTGGTTCTTGATTCTTCGGTAAGCTGCTTCTGATTCTCTATCCATTCCTTTCGGTGATTAGAACGCAAGGTGTAGGGAACCCAGCAATTTCATGCATGTGGTTCCCGATGCATACACTTGAAAGAACAGATCTGAGAAGGCACTCTCTTGACTTGCTTCCATTTTTCCCTTCAAAGCACTACGCTGACTTCTCTTGAATCTCACTCAGGTCGAAGCCTTCGAGCCTCTCAGCCTCGCAGTCCAAGCCTCCGACCCAATTCCTTGGTCTCGGCGACCAATACACGGTAAGTTGGGTCTACTTGCTCCTCACCCTGCACACACTCTGTACAAATGATGTTCAACCAACGTATTCATTTCATCTGACGGGTCTGCATGGTGAGCACGGGCGCCTTCGGGCGTGTTGCTTTACCCTCTGTAGATAGAATGAGGTTCTGCAAAGAGATCTGACGTGCTTTTTCTATCATACACTTTTTTTTCGCTTGGTCCGTGGGGTCCGAGGCTAATATTTACGTTGCAGGCATTGCTTTTTGAAGGTCGAACGTTGGAAATCGCACTGAGCTGTGCGGGCACTGTGGCAGCGGGCGCTGTCGATCTGCTATTTCTCAAGGCTCTTGAGCCGACCAGGCGCCTTCACTGACCTGATATGGATGGTGCAGCACTGTCAGAGGGGCAGCATAATGGCGAACACTGGTGAAGGACTTTTCGCGACGCAGGCCACAGCGCCTTCGCGCTGATCCCTCCAGGCAAGGCAGATCGAAATAGGTAGAAATAGCAAGGCCTTCACACTTCTCCCAAACCCCCGGGGTCCGCCGTGCACTACTTCGCAAAACATGCCCACAGCCAGTAGTCAGTAGTCATACCACCTCAACGCGCCCCGCCAAGGCCAGGGCCAAGGACCAGGACCAGAATCCGAAACCACACCAGCGCGTGCAGCGTGCAGCGTGCTCCCCAGCCGCCGAGCAACGCCAAACCAACTCGCCCTCATGCCCTGAAGCGGCGGCCAGAGGGTGCACGTATCTAAGGCAGCGCTCAAGACCTTCCGCGCGGCAGCGGCGCCACGCCCGTCTGCTACAGTGCCACACCACCACCCCACTGCCCGCGCACTTGCGCATGTGCCCCATTTCCCCGCCGCGCCGCCGCACGCTACGCCACACTCAACCCACCCCCGTTCAAGCGTCCCGACTCGTGCGTGCGCGCAGCGCCACTAAGTCCGCAGCCCGCAAGTAGAAAACGCCAATGCCAGCGAAGCACCGTCCACGGAATCTTTTATTTTATTAGGGAGGTCTGAGAGGCGACGGTCACGGCTTACGCAGTGCTGGTATACCGTGTGCTATGCTATATTTGAAACGGTACTCTTTTGTCATTTATTTATCTTTCGTCTCCAAGCAGGCAAGCCTACAAGCCCATAGACTTAGGGCAACGAAATGCCTTCCGCCGCCAACCCTTCCACCGCCCGCTCGCTCGCACGACCCACACACCCACACACACAAGCACACACCCTCTCCACTCTCCACTCAAACCTCCATCCCATATCCCCGACGCTTGTTCGCTGCCCCTCTGGGACGCTATTGCCGTGCTGTCGTACTGCCACACGCGACACTGCGCCGCTGCTGCTCTGTTTAAGCCGTGTGTGCTTAGATAGGCATAGGCATGGTGCGTGCGTGACGTGACCCGCTGCGCCTGGGGGCGCGGTGGTGGTGTTGATGTTGGGTTGGTGCTGAGGATGGATTGGGTTGGGCTGGGATGCGCTTGTGCTTGCCGGCTTTGTTGGGCAGCTTGCTGCGGCCGCGGTGGCGCTGTTGCTTCTGTACGTTGTGACGCTGCGCTCTGCTTCGTAGATAGTGAGGGTGATCCGGTTTGCTGGGGGTGGTGCTTGTGCTTGTGGTGCTGGTGTTAGTATTGGGGGGTTGGTGACTGTGTATAATCTGGGGTCTACCTGTGATCTGTAGAAGCGGAAAGATCCAAAAATAACAGAGCAAGAGAGGCGGTCCCACTTGCTGGCAGCTGAGCGCAGCCAAGTACTTGCTTCGTATGCGAAAAGGGCGGAAGTGGTGAAGGGGAGGAAGCACGAAGAAGGACTGGGGGAGAGTGGCAGAGCGGTGCGGAAAGGTTATCAGTTTGGTGTGCTACGAGGGAGCAACAGGTCCTCTATATCGCAAACAGATACGAGTAACGAGGGAGGTAAGAGCGAGGAGCGAGCCGAAAGCAAGGCGCTGAAGATGTGTTTGCATATACCGCGCCGAAGTGGCCAGGTCCTTGGGAGTAACAAGGAGGAGGATGAACTTCCTACGTGTCTCGTCGCCGGTCCGCCAGGTACTGCGTGGGTGCGCGCGCGTGAGTGTGTGTATGTATAAGTGCTAGAATAACAGGAAGAAAAAACACAGATACGCAGAACAGGGGTAAAAGTAGGTAGGAAGAGAAGAGCCGAGCCGAGCAGTACGCAGGCTGCGGCGGAAGAAACACCCCTTTCTTAGAACCATAACTCAAAAGGCACAAGCTACAAGTCTCAACAACCCCAACAAGAACGTAGAAACACCAATATTCCTCTAAGGCATAGTGCCCAACCTAACGATAACACTACGGAAAACCGGGGCAAGTCAGACCACCAACCCCTCCCCCCTACCACCCCTTTCCCTCCTCTCACTATCCCCCCACTCCGCCCCAATACCCCCACACAGACGAAAACACCAGCCACACCCTCGCCGTGCCGCGAAGCGCGTCCGCACTCCGTAGTTCGTTACCGCAGCTCGGCGGGCTCGCCTTAAGTTACGAGAGACGTAGAGGAAACGCAACACAGCTTATCGTAACAGGTAAATAAACTTTAAAACGAGCAAAGAAAGAATCCACTCACACGCAGCTCGCAGTCTATAAAGAAACGGCTATAAGTCTTATTCAAAACCGTACCAAAGAGCTTTATATACCAACCCTACGTCCTCCGCCCAAATCCGCCCCCCCCCCCCCCCCACCCAAATCCAAATCCCAACCCCACCTCCCAAAAAAAACCCATCCCACAAAAACCCACTCCCCCTCCCCCTCCCCCCCACCACACCCCACTACCGTCCCAACCCCCTCAAATACATTTGCAAAACATCCGCTGCCCCATCCGCCAGATCCGTCTCGGTAAGCCAATCGCCATCCTCGCCCTCCCCAACAGGCAAGGGGTAGCCTTTCCACTGCACGAGGTAGAACATCTGCCCCGCGAAGCGCTTGTGTCGGATGATTTGGGCGATTTCGTAGATGTCTTCGTCGTCGGCTTCTTCGTCTTCTTCTTCGTCGGCGCCGTCTTCGGTTTCAGCTTCGGATTCAGCTTCGGCTTCGACTTCGGCGTCGGCGTCGGAGCCGTCGTCCTCGTCCAAGTCAATAGGCTCGAGGGCATGGCCAGCAAGGGGGCGCTGCGAGCGTGCCTCAACTTGGGGAGCAGGGCGAGCGCGAGCGTCTGGGCGTGCGCTTGCGTGAGCGTCAGAACCCGCACGGCGCCCGGCCGCTACCACCGGCTCCACGACCTCGAGCGAGGCGTCGCTGCTGCTGTTGCTTCCGCCCCCCTTCTCTGCATCCGACTCCGCCTCCACAGGCACGGAGCCCTGGCTCAGCCGCATCGGCTTCTGCGCCACCGACGCCGATGCCAACGCCGACGCCAGCTTGCCCCCCGCGCGGAACACGCCCTGCTCGTCGTCGGCCTCGACGTCGGTGCTGCCGTCCAGGTCGATGATATCTGCCTCTCTGGGACGCACGCGTGGTCGGCCGGGTTGCCGGCGTGGCGCCGCGTCTGTGGATGCGCTGTCGGATGTCGATGCAGCGCCGCTCATGACGCTGATTTTAGCCTTGAGGACTGCGTCGACGCGGGAGAGGGGTTCGCTGGCGTCGTCGTCTGCCGAGGCGGAAACGGACACAGACACATCGTCGGCGCCCTCGTCGCGCGGGGCAGGGAACGCGTCGCCCATTGTCGCGAGGGCGCCCTTGGCGACAGGAGCGGGCTTCTTGCGCTTTCGGGTGATGGGCGGGAGGAGGTCGACGAAGGCGCGCGTGGGCGCAGCCTTAGCTTTGCGCTTTTCAGGCGTGGGCGCGTCGCTGCCGGCGTCGGCTGTGTCTGGGGCGGACGTCGCTGCTGCCGCCGAGGGCGATGCCGGCGCAGGCGACTCCACGAACTCATTTTCGAAGCGCTCGAGCTCTTGCGGGCTGACGAAGTCGAGGACGGCTTCGAGCTCGACTTGCAGCTCCTCGATGGCCTTGTCCGTGTCTTCTTGGCTCGTGTCGCTGTCCCCGTCGCTCTGCGATGCCCCGCTGCTCTCCCGCTCCCGCTCCACGCGCACAGTATACACGGGCTGCCCGGTCACCCCATCGAAGCCCCTCCCCACCACGGTCACGCAGGCACGCGGAATTGGCGTCGCGGCATCTGGTTTCCGCTTGATCGGCGGGATGTCGACGTGAGGAACGTACGTTGGAGGCGGAGAAGCGGCGGGGCGCGAAGGCATGGTCGTGGTTGTATCATTCGGTCGGCGCTGGTCGTAGTTAGCCAATGGTGGAAGACTGAGAGAGAGAAATGGCATCGCTCACTTTCCTGAGCCCGTCCTCGGTGGCCATGCCATTTATTTTATTTTCGCGCAATGGCAGGTGGGCCTGCGACAGTGGTGACGCGGTCGTGACGGTGGTGCGCGCGCGCTTCAGCGGTCTCTCCATCATGATTGCGTGGTAGGTGAAGCAAACGCCGCGACGCCCTGCAAAGAAAGTAAGCGCGACCGGCGCAATGGAAGGATGACGACGAAGGAGCGACGAGCGCTGCGGAGAGGAGAGCGCGCGGCGTTAGAGGCGGAGATTAGGTTGTTGTCGCGGGCATGCGGGATGCGCGAGTCGTGAGGATGAGTAAGCAGGTTATGCGTGAGTCGTGAGGGACGATGGCGGGGCGGCATGAGGATGCGCTTGACGTACTGGAAGGAGTCTAGGGGAGAAAAGTTTGCATTTGCTGTGCACCAGATGAGACGGCAAATCGAATTACTACCTAGTGTCTACATGCTCCATCGCCCTTAAGTCTCCGTGCCACCTGGAAGGACAAACCCGCACGCCATCTCCCTCTCGGATCGAGACCGTGTATGTCGATGTTCCTTCTGGTTACCTTCTCTCTCTGTTGTAATGAAACCTGCAACACATAGGCTCATAACCAAGCCTCCTTCGCTCGTCACCTCCGCTCATCACACCTCCTCCATTTGCCACACAGCGACAAAGCGCTCATTGACAACAAGCATTAGCAAAGAACAAAGGCCAAAGAATCGAAGCCAGATAAGCCGCAACGGTTGAGCAGTAGACTTTGAGCAGCAGAAGGTTGAGTAGCAGACGGTTGAGTAGTAGAAGGCTGAGCAGCTGACGTTGAGGAGCAGGAAGTTGAGCAGCAGACTGTAAGTTGAACAGTTGAAGGACCGAGACAGCACCGGGTGGAAATAGATGAGCAGATGTCCGATAAGGTAAACTGACAGTTTTCTCAGGCTCAGGCTAAATTTCAGGTTCACGCGATAAGCAGCAAGTTGAGCGATCCCAGATCCGAACGGGGTTTGTTGTGTGCAAGAGCAAGAGTTGAAGACGTTCCGTGTCTTCTAGTGAGGCCGAAGTCTCAATGCGCTGAGAGGCAGGCTCCTGTCGTGTACCAGAAGATGAGACGATGGCAGCAAGAGTGGATTTGACGATAGAGGCCTTTTGTCACATGAAAGCTGACTTGATCGAAGTTGAGAAGATGCAAGTCGAAATTAAAGGGTTAGTTGCTTTCTAAAGAGGGTGACCGATCAAGTGATGGAAGATCAGGTCGGATAGCCGGTCAGAGTTTGAAGAAGACCAGACCAGGTTGTGCGGAACGTGCCCAATGAAGGCAGGCAGAAGCGTAAAGGTCAGAGTCGAGTCGAGTCGAGAGAGAGAGAGAGAGACTGACAGGCGACAAACGGGAGAAAAGCATCGGAGCTACTATCCGGACGATTCTCTGTTGACCTCGCTTGGTTTCGCACGAAAGTGCTACTCACCCCCGGCGCTGCGCGAAAGCGCGAGGCCATGCCGGGGTGCAAGGGCCCTACAGCCGCTTGCTCCATGCCAGACGGGTAACGAGGCTTAAGCTAACAGCTTCAGGGATGCCTCAGACTCCGTCCCAGGGGCTGATCTGAAAGTCAACGCCGAACATACTCGATTGCCCGAAGTATTCACCTCACGTCGCACCCTACAAAGTAGGACTTCAGATTGTTGGTGTGGCGGTATGCTGGTCCAAAGATGCAGCACGCAAGACAAACAGGCCTCAGTGGATAGTCGTCGAGTAGTGCCCCAAAACGTCCCATAAGCGTATATCGCGAACCCACGCCAAACGTACTCGAAGTACTCACCTCACGTCACACCGCTACAAATGTAGGGCTTCAGATTGTTGGTGTGGCGGCATGCTGCCAATGCAGCAAGCTGTCCGGGTGGCTTGAGTAGATGGGAGAGGTGGTCTGACCGGGTGTGACAGGCCGCGGCCAGCGGAAGTCTCAGGCGAGAACTTCTCCACCATGCAAACGAGATGGGGGCAACCCCGCTGGGACTGGCTAGGGCGCTGACAAAACCAAACTCATGGGCTGCGGCTGCTTCGGGCGGAGCGCTAGCTTTTGCTACTCTTGAACAAGTAGCGGTTCTTCGTCTGTGGAGGTCTCCACATGCTGCTGCTGCTGCTGCTCATGCGTAGAGACGGCTTGCTCTTGCTGCTCCTGCTCCTGCTGCTGCTGCTGCGCACCCGTAGGGACGGTTTTGTCTTGCTTCTGCTGCTGCCGCTCCTGCTCCTGCTCCTGCTCCTTCGCCTTCGCCTGACGGCGGCGCTCCCGCTCGCGCTTGTCGGGCTTGGGGTTTCTTTAGCTGCTTGGACCGCCGCGTTCCCTTTTCGGGGGAGGCAGCCCTGCTGCTTTTGCCTCTGCTTCTGCGGCGCGGCGAAGCCGCAAATGCTTCGGTAAACGCTTGCGTTTCCATAGGTAACATTTATTAGTACTGTTCTATTTCATTTCTCTCATAATCCAATCATTTCCGTTTGGTGTCGAGTCGAGTCGGGGAGAGTGGAGTGGACCGGAGTGAAGTGGGGTGGAGTGGAGAGTGGAGAGTGGGCTATTGAGTATAGGGCAGCACCAACTACAACTTACCTTTTTTGGCGGGGCGCCCTCTTGCTCTTGCTCTTGCTCTTTCGCTTGCTCGGGTTCTGGTTCTGGTTCTGGTTCTGGCTCTGGCTCTGGCTGCGCCAGTCTCGCCCAGTCATCGGACCCCAACAGCGGCGTCGATCCAGGCGGCGACATGTTGGTGCTGTTGCTACTGCTGCTGTTGTTGTGGTTGGTGCTGGTGGTGCTGCTGTCGCTGTCGCTGGTGGTGTGGCTGTCGCTGTCGCTGTTGTTGTCGCTGCTGGCGCTGGCGAGGTAGAAGGGAAATGGCCAAGATGCAAGTGTGAAAATTTTCGCTATCGCTGTGCGCTTTCGTTTCTTCCATTATGGCAGGCACGCGGGTGCGCATCCGCGCCTGCCTCCTTCGCACCTTCTCTATACGTGGTGGGCAGGCGCGCACGCGCGCAGGAACCGTACACCCCAACGAAAGCCTCTTGACTTAACGACGCGCAAACACCGAGAAGCAAATGCACAGCAACGTAATGGCAGGAGGGGAGGGTTACAGCGGCGAAGCGGTTCGGCGGTCGTGGCAGCGTGATGATGTTTCTCGGTTGCGCACACTAGCCCCCAATTTGCTTGCTACATAAATGCCATTGCTTGGCACCTCCTTCATCAACAGCTACAAGCTGCCCGGCTAGCTCAATCGGTAGAGCGTGAGACTCTTACCACCTCCCAGGAGGCGATATCTCAAGGCTGCGGGTTCGACCCCCGCGTTGGGCTCAATTCCCAAATATTCTTTTGCTTTTTTTTTTTGCGCGGGAGGAGGAAACGAGGCGAACATATTTTTATATTTCTATAAGCGATCTATAAACGGTATAAGGTAATACTTAATTCTCCCCCGCGTTAGGCTTAATTACTAATTATTCTTTTTCTTTTTTTCTTTTACGCGGGGGGCCGCTAAGACTCGCTTGCCTGAGGCCGGGGGAAGGACAGGGATGTCTCGGAGGCGGGAGCGATGTATTTTTTATAAAGGACGAGCAAAGTCACAAGCGATCTATTAATGGCAAGATGATGATTATTTTTGAGTATCTGGCTAAGTACATGATATGTGCGGACATGAAAAAAGACATCGTGTGACGACCTTCAATCGGCAGCTATGTCCTGGTTCCTGCTCCAAAGCTAGCATAAAGTGACCTGTTGTGAGGGATGAGAACGATAAGGAAGTGCGAGTAGGAGCAAGAGTAGCAACGCGACAACGAAGCAATACAGTTTGAGGTTGGTAAGGGGAGCAAAGACGAGAAAGGACAAAGTCGAGTTCCTTCAAGGGAACAGGAAGTTTGGTCCGATGGACGGCCGACTCTCGTTGGACGACACGAAATGTAGCGCCAGATGCGACCGGCACCATTTCCTTGAAGATGGCAGATGAAGAGACAACAATGGGTTTGCTGCAGTTCCTGGGATCGCTCGAGGTCTGTCGGCGTAGCGCAGATTTGTGTTTTGGTATCTAGAGGTCATCATGGTTTGGTTGTCATAACCATGTGTCATGACGGTCTGGTTGCTGGGACCAGGTGTCATGTTGAAATTGTTTGCAGCTGATCTAGGAGGCGGGAGTGCTTGAATGACGTCGGCTTTGATGGTGATTCAATGGGAGGAGGCAAGGCGTCTGCGGTCTTGTGTTGCTCCTTCGTCTGCGCGTCCTGTAATGGTATGGGTGTGATTTGGTAGATTCTGATCTTGAATGAAGACTTGGCGGCTTTTATCGTGGGTTGTTCGGTGGTACCTCGCTCGCCGAAACGGATCAGAAACTTGGAGACTGACTTGGCGTCGGTGTGGCGTGCCACGATGGTCTGTTCAGTGGCCTCAAGCTGGGTCTGGAACTGGCCCTTAAAATTTTACCGTGTTGCCAGAGTCAAGATTAATATCTTAGCCTTGAGCTGGGTTTGTGTCTGGGGTGATTGTGTTGTTGCCTGCGTCCTTGTTGTTGGCTGTGGCGTTGGACTTGAAGCTCTGGGTGGTGCGGCGACCTTTTGATGTTGGCGACTGGAAGGGATGGAGGTCTTAGTCTTGTGATTTAGAGGCTTAGACGACGCCCAACCGTAGAGCTGGGAAGTAGTTGAAGCCCTCTCAGTTGGTCATGCTGTCGTACTGATTGAAGTGGTTCTGAACTCCTTCCGCCGCCTTAATCTCGTGAACATCCTTATGCTGTGGTCACCATTATGTTGGTTCCTACGTGCATTGCGCTTGATTAATCTGTAGTCATCGGAGTTGTTGCGCGTGAGAGTGTACCTGCGCGGTAGAGGAGGACGTGGTCCTAGTTCGTACAGCTGGCGCAGCACAAATAGCAGTTATGCCTCCTCCGACAGCGACAAGGACGTCAACTCATCCAACCAAAGAACATATTGTTTCCTTTGAGCTGCTTCCATCGGCGATCAATGTATCCGAACATTGCAAGAGTGATGACGGACTTCTCATTGATGACAAGGAACCTGAGGTTGCCAAGGTCGAGAGCCCCGGCTTTGAGACGAGCTGGAGTCAGGTCTTTGAAAACGCCGGTTGGAATACTGAGGAGGGACTTCAGAGTGACGCCATCGACAGCGTGAGCAGCGAAACCGGTGTAAGCGGAACGGCCCATCCATTCACCCCCGCCGCCGCCGCTGTCGACGTCCTCCATAATACCGGGGAAACGCATCTCCATCGTAAAGCCTGCCAGGCCGAGGTGGTTCTGCGGTGATGGTGTTGGACAGTGGCGAGAAACATGCTTGCGGTGTGACAGTTCCGCGCAGTGTCGTCGACGAGGGACGCGCGTGCTTGGGAGCTGGAATTGGGAAGCCGGTAGATGAAAATGCTTGCAATGTAGTAGCAACGCCTCTGCGGGCCCGGATCAGAGAGGACGATGGCGGAGCAGTGGTGGGCTGACAAACATTAGCGACGTTGCCTCGATCGACGATTGTAGTTTCCACCCTCAGTCGACTACTGTACTATGCATGTCAGTAAGCTTCAGTGAAAATACCGAACAGATAAGAGGAACTTTTGAAGAGCACTCACCCGACGCTCCACATCCCCAAAGGCCGATTCGACGACCCCGGCGCCCTCATCCTCGGACACCCAGGATCCACCCAGTACAGCTACACATACCCGTCGTACATCCAGCGAGGCATCCCGGCCTATCCATGATCGCGGCGCAGCTCCGCCATAAAACCGAGAAGCCGACAACGGCATGGCTTTCTCCTCGGCAAGCCGTTCGGGCATGAAGCTTGATCCAGTCTCCATTCAAATGCGAGAGGTTACCGAGTTGGTGAAGGCTTTCGAGTGTAGTGGGATGTTCAACACGCAAACCAGCGAAGACGTTAGAGAAAGTATCATCTGAAGTAGCTGTTTCATCATTAGAAGATTTCTTAACGGGACGGTTATTCTGTCAAGCAGACCGACTTGGTCGAAGGCATCGAGGACCTTCTAGCATCAATGAGACGCTCCTAGACCTGCTCGAGCAGGTCGCGGAGCTGCTGTCTTAGTGGCACTAATAGGCATCCTGGAGCGGTGAAGTAGAGGGTTTGTCATCGAACAGCGACCTTTATCACTGTCGATGATTATATATATATAGAAAGAAACTGGCAAGGGGCCAGTGTCGTAATGGTGTCGAAGTGATGATGTCGACGTCTTCGCCCTCCGGTGTCGTAGGAGTTGCACTCATCGCGGAACAACTGCATGCGGCATTGGCGAGGACGGCGGGAGGTGGGGCTGCTCGTCCTGTTCGCTCTGCTGGAGAACAACCTGGTTATGTCGAGAATGGACTACTGTAGTTGAATTAGCCAGCTCGGCCGAGGGCACATCCGGGTCCTCGTAGTGCCGTTCAGGCTCAGCATGCTCGGTGGCTAGCGCGGCGTGAGCGCGTAGGAGGTTTTGGTGATGTATAGGTACTAGACGTAGCCTTGGCGATGATGTCGTTGTAGTTTTCGTCGCTTGCGTTCAGCCTTCCAGTCGCCATCCAATCTTCGTATGCGCCCTGTTGCTACGGCACGAAGCGGACACATGACTTCGCGTAATGCTGACGCTGGGGCGGGCTTCCATGGCTTCGGTCTCAACGTGTGCCCTGATGCTATGGGTAGTGGCGGCAGAGTTTGGGGTGTAGTGTTGGGATCGATGGCTCGGAGGGGTGTGCTTCGTGTTGGCACCGACGCAGACTGCAAGCCATGGGCGGACGTCCTTCCGGGACCTGGATGGGCTGGGAAAATAATATCCAAATTCAGTGGTACACCTCGGGCCAAGTTCGAACGAAACTCTTGGGACGCGTAGTAAAAGGCCCCAGCCTGAAAGCATTCATCAGGCTTATCAAAGCACTGCTCGCCGACGGTCTTGTTGAAGTCGGCAACTTGTCGTTGCACATGACTTTGTCGACAGTGAAGACGGTGTTGGTGATTTGCGCATCCATTACATACGTGAACAAAGCGGTGACAGGGCAGCCGCGGCCATCCAGTGCGATTTTCGTGCCAGTTGGGTTGGTGGGGTTGTTGACAGTCTTGAAGGCCGCATAAACCATGCGGGGGCGCTCGATGACTGTGCCGTTGGGCTGGACATGACCGACTAGGCAGTGGCGAGTTCTACGCAGCAGCGGTTGTACTGAGATGGTGTGAGCGTCGCCATAAAGCGAAATGGCCAGTGCTATGATGTGCTTCAAGTGCGGCTGCGGGTGTGGGTTTTTGTTCTTCAGGCATGCTTTCATCTCTCCCAGTAGAATTCGCTGTCGGAAATGTATGTCATCGGTGTGTGTATGCCAGGAATTTGTGCTGGCAAGTTGTCAAACCGGCTGTCACCGGTTCCGAGGGGCCAAATTGGAGAGGTGGCCGGGAGACAAAGCCTTTTCCGTTGGGCAAGCATACTTGAGTCAATGTCCGTAGAGTATCGGACATTTTTGAGCTGGCCTTCGGCTTCCAGTAGCTCCTCAAACGTCCTTATGGGGTCGCTTGCTAGGAGCTCGGAGGTAGCCTCGGTCGCTGGAGGATGTACGGTACCAGGGAGAGAAGCTGGCCGAAGATGGCGCCGAGGTCGATGACACTGACAGCCAATGTGGTGTTGTAATTGACTGCCTCGTAGACGTCCAGGTGAAGCCATAGCAGGATATCGTAGTTCCCGGTGGATTCGGTTTCGGTGGTTGATGCGAGGCGACGGCGCGGCACCATTGATTCTAGAAGCGGGTGTCGGGGTCTGTAGTAGGCCCGCCTTCCTCATTAACTTCCGTTTGGTTCTCGATTGGAAGTGGTCCCGTAAAAAAAATACCGCTCTCATCGACGGCCATCTAACTGTTATCTGGTATTCCGTTAATCACGTCAATCGAGACCTCCAAGGTGCTTTCGGCGTTGGAGGGCATGCCCGGGCACGGCCCTGAGCGATGCTTGATGGTGACGTCATCGGTGGTTGTGGTGGTACCGGGTTGTGTGCGTGGGCCAGCAGACTCATCTTTGTCTGCGCTAGCATCGGCGAAGCCGTCAATGCCAACAACTGCAGCATCACTGACAGCGATGTCCGCTTCAACCTCTTTATGTCTCGACGTTAGGTGGGATGCGCATCTCATCGTTCTCTCCGGCATCTTGACTGGATCCGACACTTCGTCGATTTGCGTGCCGCTGAAATATCGGACTCAAGTCGGAGTTCCTACGATAGTACCTGGTAGCATTCTCTGGCTTGGTGTGGGTTTTGCCTTTCTGCGCCAGGTCTTGTTTTTGACGCCATTGTCCTTGGCTCGATCGTCGCAGACGGCTCCCTCTTGACTAAGGTCTTGCTGTTAACTGACGTCATGCTATACACGGAGGCCTCGCCCTTGACGGAGTCTTCGGTCTTGACCGATGGCTGCCAGTACCTCTTAGTCGGCTTCGTCGAATCACCGCTCTCTCGGTCTTCGTCTTCGGACTTGATTGACGGCTGCCACTACGATATGGTCGGGAGCATCTTCATCGCCTTTCGGAGCCCCTTCACCATCGTTACCGCCAGCAAGTTTTAGTCAACCACGAAAGCAAGAGCCTTACTCACGCAGCCTGGCCGGGCCGAGGAGCATGGAACCGACGACGACCATCGGTGAACGCAGACGACACATGCGCATCAGGGCGGGCTTAGCTGAGCATGCTACGCCGGAGCAACCGCATGGGACGTCTGAATTGCGGGTGGATCGACGAGCCCCGGTCCCATGACGGACATCCCTGCGTAGTGTCCTAGGTTCATCCAGCCTATGCCAAAACCGTCGAACTCGTCGGCATAGCCCACGATATCCCATTCCGTGACTTGGGACTCGACGCCTTCCTTCACCCCCTTCAGGAGCTGCATGTATTTCATCTTGGCGGTGCATGCAATATGGCGGCAGCGCGGCTTGGCGGCAGCACGGCTTGACGGCGTTTTGTCTGGATCTGGCTCTTCCTTGTCGAACTGTACGAGTACATCGCTGGCCCTTCGGTGCCGAACACTCCCGATGCATGAGGCAGTAGCCGTCTCGGGTTGATGTCGCAAGTAGGCAGCGGGCCTCGCGCTCAGAGTGGCAGTATTTTGGCACGCCGCTGAGCCAGGACAACCAGTAGGGCTCGATTTTGGCGGCGACGTGAGCTGAGCCCCTCGGGATGCTCGGCTTGGGTGGCGAAGCCGACTTGTGCGAACGAGCCTGAGCCGGTGCTCGAGGAGCGGAATGGCGTGAGTGTGCCATCGCTGGGGTCAGAAGATGCTGCCGTCGGTGCGCCGTTGTGGCCGTTGGCGTGGCGGACGGCGAAGTCATTGGCGCTGACGGTTGACGCTGGGCGATGTCAGCGGAGGAACCGCAAGGCTGGAGTTCTCTATGAGGTTTTTCTAACATACCGATCGAAAGGCACCGACGATTAGAGACAGCGGCGCGATGTGCTCCTAAGAGATCGGCCTCTTCTTCCTTGTCCCTGCCTTCGAGAAGGAGTAGAAGGCGTATGAGGCTGCGGCGTCCTGTTCAAGGAACGTTTTGATTCCCTCGAACAATGAGTTTCCTTGCCGAAGGAATCTTCAGCTATTCGAAAGTAGTATTCGAATCCACTCATCGATGTTGAGAGCCAGAGTGGGCATGGTGGTGGCTGGTCTCAGTGTAAGGGTAGACGAACCTGCTAGCAATTACGGTAGCTCGCAGGGTGTTATATATATATATAAGCACAATTAGTGTAAGAGAAGGCCCGGTGGATGTCTCATCGTCCACCATGGAACTCCCACCAGCAGGATCGGTGACAGAAGCGTCACCGTCCGGACGTGGGCGACGATCCTAGCACCCGGTGGTCGCCTCTTCGTGGAGCGCGAGCTGCACGAGCTGCGGGATACGGCTCCACATAGGCCGGTGGATGCGATGCTGAGGTGTTGACATAGTGAACAAGGAGGGTTAGTCCAAGATCCCTGATGGACGCGGCAATGTGGAAGCCTAACGAGTTGATATGCTTGTTCTCTACGTAGCCGAGCAGGTTGTCCGACGTCACATGTGAACGACGCCTCCCATCTGAAGCGGACTTGAGCTTCGCCTAGAATGGGCGGACCAGGGTGCTGGCGGATGCATGTTTGCAAATGGCGTTCTTGTTGTTCACGCGCCCGCCGTCGCTGCCACCGCGTTGAAGTGCGCGTTGAAGCGGGCGTACAGGAACCAGCTTGCAGCGGTTGTGTCCTCTGTCCCGGTTAATGTCTTCAGTCCCGGGTAACGTCATCGGATGCTGTCCTAGCCAAGTTTGGCGTCCTCGGACAAAGGGGTATGATGCGATGAAAGTGTTGACTGTGTGGTTCTCGTCATATGCAGGTCGTGCTGATGATTCAGTGATTATTGTGAGTGATAGAGAATCCTCGATTTTGTTTGCAGGTTGAAGGCGGACTCATTGTAGCTGTACAGTCCCAGCCAGTTGAAGAATGTACCGTCTTCGGCGTCGTCGCCACGGCGGGTCTCTTCATGTACTTGCCGAGCTTGGCGTTCCCCTTACCAGCGCCTTCGTGATGGTAGACCGTGATACCATCAGGTTGATTAGCAGGATGCCGACAGTCAACCTTGATGATTTGACGGTGGTTATGGCCCGCTTGTAGCTGAACAACATATGGCATGTTTCTTGGTGATGGTGTCCAAAGCTCTAGGCATGGTAAACATACTGTTTAGTAGAACCAGGAATGCAAGTATACTGGCGTCCAACGTCGTCGCCAGCGGAGGCGATACTTTGGAACTGACCCTCAGCCATGGGAAGATCGACTTCCATACCTTCACCGCTTTTGTTAGCTTAAGCAAATACTTGCCAGAATCTGTTCTTCAATGCCAGACCGTGTTAGTCCGTCCATACTCGCCAATGCTGATAACAAATACAGCCCATTCACTCCCAGTGAGCATAGCCAAATGTACGGTATAATCTTTTCCAATCGTCCTATAGCGCGCGGCTTCGGGATTTTTAGCGACGGTCTTGGCAGAGAGGCTGCAAACGCTTACCCTGCAGAGATTTTCGAAAACTGCTTCAAAAATAGAAGATGGAATCCACTTGCCGCGCTGCAAAGATTAACAGGCTCGCCTGAGACTGGCAAGAAGAGAGGGGCCTATGGTTGTTAGTTCTGTTGAATCTTCTACGGAAAAAGAAATTCAAAACTCACGGACAAGCTCCTTTATGAGGTTAGGCTCAAACGCGGCACCAGCGCCGGTGAAGATGGCGATGATAGCGCTCGGAAGACGGTGCTTTTCGTCTCGAGATAGGCAGAGGCTGCGCATGAAGACGGCTGCGAGCCTGCATGGGCTGGGGCTGCAGCTGTACACGTCAATGTATTCCAGGTCCGGTCCAGCCGGCAGCCAAGCACAACGGCCTGCAGGATCCTCCTGTCGCTGGAGAAGCTTTCCCACAGGGGAGCATTCCAAGCAGCATCGTGAGGGACGATAATGCGAGCCGCGAACCGCCCTACTGGAAAAGAGTGGTCAGTGATGGCGGTGATTGGACGGGATGCGGTGCAGAGCGAAAGGGAGGCATGATGGTAGGGAAGGAGAAGAGAGGAGAGAACGGACGCACTTATATACACGCAGCGCGGTCAGGGTGCAGAGTGTTGGTCAGGGCGTTTTCGTCCGTATTGTTGCCGTCACTGCTGAAGTCGGAGTTCAGGTCTGAGGCGTGTCAACGGAATCAGAGTCGGAGTCAGCGTCAGAGGCTAGAGCCGGAGCCGGGGCCCAATTCAATTCACAATCGAATGCTACGCGGCAGACGTGCTTGCGGAGCCACCACAGCCTGCCTGGAACATCAGGCTCTAGCGCCCGGTCCTCGCCAGACGCTCGCAAGACGGATATTGGTCGCAAGCCAGTGCTTGGTGATGTCATGATTCTTGCCGATGAGGGAGGACCAGGCTGGATTCCGAGCAGGATTGAGACGAAGTGGGACATGAGTATTAGGAGTATCATCAACTGGAACGGACATGAAGTCGTCAGGCAAACCAGTCATGTCAAACGCGTTCCAGGCGTCAACATAAGACCTACTCCCGTTGGCTTCGATGAAGTCACGGAAAGGCTTGTGCGACACGAACTCGGCCATCTCAGACTCGGCCTAGACTTTCAGAAGGCGTGCCGCGTACGAAGTACCGCGAGTGTAGCGTCGTGGGCTCGAGCTCGGCGAACAGTCGAGTTTTGAGGCATTGTGCGACGAGCGATAGCTTTCGCGAGGCCTTTGTATGGATGGCGCCATCGTTTGCGGCAGTGCAAGGCTGTGTCCCAGGTTGTTGGGTGTGTAGGGTGTCTGTCAGTCTGGCACCGTCCCTGGGCTTTTGGTGAATGACTGTGTCGATAGAGTCCGTATTCTCCTAGCCATCATAACGGCGGGTGTGGGTTGGGAGAAGCTGAAGCCTGAGTCTGAGGTGCTGGAGTCGTTGGAGAAGATGATGGAGTGGGGCCTCGGGGGAGGATGTGAGGTGGTTATGGGCCTGTAAGGGGGGAGCCGGGACTTGCTCTGTGCGGGTGTTAGCGATGCATGAATGGATGGACGGGATCATGAGGAAGCTATTGGTTAAGAGGAGTTGAATTGGACTTACGATTTCGCAGTTTATGGTTGCCCATGACGCACTTCGTGCATTGCACCGTGTCGCCGTTGACAGCGCCCAGCTCGTCAGAGGCAGAGGCAAATACAGGTAATCTTGCGCACGAAGCAGCGACAGCACTAGTGGATTTGAATTATCAGCGCAGGCACGAGCAAAGAATCGCATAGCTAGTAAGCAGTAGATAAGGTGTCGGAGACACTGAAAGAGTAGCGAGAGCGGTCGAGCAAACGACAAAGAAGCGCCACAGCACACTTACAATAACAGGTTTCTTCTTCTTCAGCGCCATCGGCAATGCCATCGCTAGCGTACGCTGCTTCTTTGGTGTTGCGGCGTACGGCTCGTGCCTAGCTGAGGCACGCTTAGCCAAGGGCGAGGAAGAACAACCCTGTCAGTGCGGTTTCGATCCGGGAAGTGCTCTAAGACCTCAGCATTCTCATTGCTCTAAATGCCGGGGGCGGAGCCGTTGCTTCCGGTGAGTGTGAATGTTGCCGAATACATCGATATCAAACGTGATGTTCCCGCTTCTGAGGCTTCAAATCCCGAGCCCTAGCGTTTGAGTCTAGCTCCTCTGGCATAGCTGACCGACTGCACAAACGGGTGAGTAAACGCAGAGCAGTTTCTGGATGGAAATGATGATCTCACCCGTTCGCGCTCAAGACGCTTCTCGCGAACTATCGACGATGTCGTTGATATCATCACAAGGGCGCTGGATTGACTTTGTAGTCTCAGCGAGGCGCTGAGCGATGGGCCTTACAGTTCTTCTGATCGTCATGTCAATGCGAGACTGTGTGTACATCAGTTTGCATCCTGAATATAGGAAAGCACATACCTGCTGCAGACCCGAAGACCTTGGAAGATGCCATTTTGGCATTCTCTTTCTACACCTTTGCGACAATTTCACCGCAGTGCGCACTCAAACCTCTCCGCACCCCTAGTGGCTCGCCAATGCGACGGAGGACCTTGTATGCCGAGGGCCGCCATCCGTGGCCTTCGTGTTGCAGTTTCTGCATGTTGGTCGCTGGAAGACGAGCGTGAAGACCAAGATGAAGGGCGTTTCGTGCAGGATGAGCATAGGAAGCTTCCTCGGTGTTCTTTTCCTGGAGAGTCTTTAGTGAGCTCCATGAGGACGGAGAATTCAGCCCCGGGGAGTCGGGAAGGCTTCCCACGACAGTGTGCGTCCAATGTACATGTACACTCACAACCTCCGTGTGCTGTTGGTTTTTTGGACTCCACGTCAGCATGATCGCCCGTCGCGCTTCTCGTATGTGCATTCCATGGCCGCGTCGTCCAGAAGGTGTGTGTGGGTGTCCATCCCTCGAAAAATCTCTCGGCTGACCATTCGCGCCAGCCGGGTTCATGACTTCGGCCTTCGTAGTGTCGTCATTGTGTGGGTCTCAGCAGCACACGTCGCGATGGATTGTGCATGACTACGGCCGACTTGTCTGGCTGTTGGCTCTGCACATAAGCGTCTCCAGCAGGGTTGCTGAGAGCCTGAGGTCGCCATCGGCCTGGTTGCCAGCCTGAACATCAGCATTGTCCTCAACGGTGCTGGTCTTGCATCTTGGATTCGGCTTCGGGTCGCCGGCCTCGGAGCCATGCCAATCTCGCTGTCGCTCTCATCGCTACTGGGATCGCGTGGGACGACACTGAAGTCCTCCACACAGATAGCGTGTGCCCACACCATTCCTTTGTGCAGAAGATATAGTGGTGAAACGATCAGTCCTCTGCTGCATAATTCACAGCCCCAGCCACGGTGTACCCAACGTCGATCCCTTAACGGTAAGAGTTTGGGAAGGTAACCACGACACGTCCGAACGCAATGTGCGCCGGCGACAGGACCTGCAGCAGTCAGCAATGCGAGCGCAACAGGGCAACAAGAACACAAACCGTTTGTGAACTGATTGAACGAGACGTCGGCCAGTTTGGGGGAAAATCGTTGCACGGAAGTCTCAGCGACAACGCCGACGACGACGACCATGAGGGAGACATGGCTATGAGGTGAAGTGTTGCCAGCAAGTGAAGGCGTTGTTAAAGGCGTTAGCGAAAACAACGTTAGCGAGGGCGGGGGCAAAAATCCCAACACACTTACCACACCCACACGAACCAAGCGGCTGCTTCTGTCTGCTTCTGTAACCTGTCCGGCGTTGGCTTCGGCTTCCTGGACATCGGCTCTGCTGGCAATTTGACAAGAACAGCCGCCTCCGATCGCCTGCTCGACGCCCTGAACATTCGGCAGCTGCTTGACATGGAAGGTCAGCCATAAGACACGCTGAACACGGGACAAGAAGATTTACATCCATGGTTCGCTGGACAATCATACCCGGAGGATGCATCCCCAGCAACTGGAGCGTGAATCGGTAATGCCTGGATGCTCACTCACACTTGCGGACCAGTCATGGACGGGAGCCGGACTCAGCTGACCATGGACGTATTGAGAGCCGTCTTGGCTTGTGAGAGGGTCTGTCTTCGCTCTGCGGAATATTAGCGAGAGCACAAAAGAAACAACACCGATAACAGCAACCCACACCATCAACCCAACACCAACTTACGGAAAGGTCCAGCGCCAGCGCTAGGGTCAAGAGTCACAGGATATGGCAAGTATGGCTGCTAGTTCCTTGCGTTTCCAGAGGAGCAGCGCAACCAGAAACCCAGCCCACCAAACCCGAAGACGAAAAGGAGGAGGGAAGCAGAAGACCATCAGGAGGTAGTCGCGTATTGAAGAAAAGAGAAGGTAAGAGGGTAAGGAGGGGCGGGCCAGGGGGGGAGGGAGGGAGGGGGAATATATATATATAAACGCACAAAGTGCAAAAACGGGAGACCAGCTCGACAAAGCCTCACAAAATGGCGAGGGGGAGAGGCGTATTTAAGCCTAACCGGCCGTCTGTCCCATCGAGAGAGCGATAAGCCGGATAGTTAATAAGTCGGCTGGATCCGAGTCTGAGCCGAAGGCGAAAGGATGTGACATCTGACGTCTGACGCGCTTGGTGGCTGGGGAGGGCGAGAGGTGGGAGGCAGATGCGTATACGCGTTCCCGTCGGCCGTCCGAGGCGGAGGCGTGCGTGTAAGTCGGGTCTGCGTCTAGGTTTAAGGGGCGGTGTGGTGTGTATGCGGAGACCGGAGGGCGCGGCAAACGGCGAACGAAATGAGCTGTTTCAGCGGTGGCTGGCGGGGAGGGCGATTCCTAGGACGGTATACCGAGCTTCATCGCCGGAGTAAGAAAGGCGTATCCTTTTCCTGCAGAAATCAAGTCTTTCTCCTTCAATCGTGCGGAAAGCATTCCCAAAGTCCCTTCTCCCCCGCGGCACTACCTCTTAATTCCCCCCTCTCAAGCCAAACCCCAACCCCGCCAACCCACAACACCATACACATCTACACAGGTGACGCGCAACGCCAACAGCAGCACAATCCTGCGCGCTAAGCCGGCAACAACAAACGCAGACGAAGCCCTCTCCCGAAGCTTCCGGCGAAGAGCAATAGTAGCGCAGTACCAGCTCCCGAGACAAGCGGAGACTGGCGCGTAGGCACGCATCCGTAGCAACGGAAGAAATTAGCGTCACTAACCTGCCCAGGTCCCGGGAGCGCACACGGCAGCGCGCGGAGCGGCGGCGAGGAAGAGACGCGGGCAGATATTAAACGGGCAGCCGAGCAAACGGCCAAGCGGATACACTCCAACATTACCCCGCCCCCGCAGCCCCTCTTCATGGATGTGCAAACGCACCATCAGGTACTAGGCGCCAGCGGCCCGCGGGGCGCGGGACGACAGTGGTAGCGGGAGCGGCAGCGCGCGTTTGAGTGCACGGGCACGAGCCGCATTGCTTGGCTCGTCGACGTCGTTCCCGTCGGGCGGAAAGGCGGTCTAGCTCCTGCTTTGAGGGCGGGGGCGGGGGTGTGTGAGGCGTTTTCGAGGAGGGGAGGGGAGGAGGGCGCGTTGAGAGAACGAAGGTGTACGTAAAGTGCCTAAGGAGAACATCTACGCAAAACCTAGACGCTATATCGCAGCAGTCAGAAATCCGTACGCCGTAGATTAGCTGTATGAGGCTGGGGGCGTGTACCGTACCTACTTCAAAATCAAACGCACCACGGCGTCGGCGCCGCTGAACCTGGCCCTCTTCAGGCACGTCATCTCGCGAGGAATCCCCTTCTCCGCACCCACAGCCCTATCCGCCGCTGTCGCCGATCCCTCTGACTCCTCGCTCTTTCCTTCGGCCTCCGCGCGGGCGGCAGCGCGTTTACACCTCTTCCCGAGTAGACTAGCATACCCATCCCATCTTGTCCCGGTTTCACGCTAAGGTAGTCCATCAACAAGCGCGGCGGCGCGCGCACCTTCTCGCCACGGCCCCCCCATTCTAGTAATCAAACACACGTCACGACGCGGCGCCCGCGCCCAGTAGGTGGCGCATCCGTACTCGTTGCCCGCGGCGTTGCAGTCGCCTCTACCGTCGGGCATCAGGCACCAATGCCCACCCAGCAGCCGCGGCTGAGTCGGATCCGCCTCACGTCGCGCGTCTGCTCCTCCTCTTCCATGCAGATACCTGACCCCGGTTCTGGGACACGTCAGGGGCGGGCGCCGACGTGTCTTGCCGTAGTCGTAGTCCCCGCTCTTTCGTTTTTTTCTCCTCGCTTTTCTCGTTTATGGTAGCGCGCAGATGGAGGCGCAGACACAGGCACCCACGCCGCCCGCCCTGATTTGTTCAGTTCGGTCTTGTTCACATGCGCCACGGCTCGGCGCGTCAAGTCAGCCGCAGAAATGCGGGAGTAAGGGTACGTCATGTCCCCCTCCCTCTCCCGCCTCCGATTTCAAACGCCGTCGTGCTTGCGCGTAAGCGGGCGTGCTGCGGTGCGGGCGTATGCGTATGCGTATGCGTATGCGTGTGTGCGTGTACGTACGTGCTGCGCTGTGAGCGTGCGGTGATAGTAGTAGTAGGTACGTCATCCTTCCGCTCTGTTTCATTCTGTCCAGTTCTGCCGTTTGGAAAGCGGGTCGTGATGCGCGATTTGAAGTGGAGGTGCGGAGCCGTGCGAGAGTGCGCCCAGCTCGGCTTGGCTCGGCGCGTCGCGTCGCGTCGTACAGGCAGACGCGGGTGCGGGCGCGGGTGCACGTGGTTTTGACTGCCTAGGACCTAAGCTTGGGAATTGCCAATCGTCAATTTTCTAGAACAACGGATGGTAATATTTTATCTATATTATTATGTTTATTTCCCTTGGATGTGGGATGAAGGTGAATGCGCCTGTTTTGCCGTGCTGCTGAGATATGGCTGACCTACTAGGTGCGGACTTCCCATTGCTGCGCAAACTCTTCAACGCTTGAGTCTTGATTCCTGTGCCTGTCTGCCTACCGTTCATTACACCCCCTCCGACACCATCACCACCACCACAACAACCACAACCCCCTCATCCCTTCCCATTACCCCATTCCCCATTATCCATACTCCCATAACTCATCCCCACACACACGGACCCTAATACCGATCCTCGGTCCTCGAAACAATCCACCAAGCATCTGCGACAAATTAGTCAGCCACTATCCAACAACAATATCCAACACCCCTTCCCTTCCCTTCCCCTCCCCTCCCCTCCATTTTCCCTCCTTCTCCCCACCCCCACCACCAACCACAGGACAGCACTCACGTATAACGCCCGGAATCCAGCCCAGAATCGTCAAGCACACATTGATAAGGAAGTCGGCGGCGCAGCCGCGCTTGACGAAGACGGAGGCGGGCGGGACGAAGAGCGCGAGGAAGTAGAGGAGGACGTCGGGCTGGTGGGGTGGGGGAGGGGGTGTTAGCGATGGGTTTGGTTTGGTTTGGTTTGATGGTGGTGTGGTGGTGGTGTTGGTGGTGGGGAGGGAGGGTGCGTTGGTGCTGGTGACTGGTGTTGGGAGGGAAGGAGGGAAGGAGGGAAGGCGTACCGTGGATGAGGGCGGGCGGTTCGACATCTTGCGTGCTTTAGAGGTGTTTCTGTCGCTGTCGCTGTCGTGCGCGTGCGTAGGCCGAGCCGTAGGTAGACGCCGTCGCGCGTCTGTCGGCTGTCCGATGGATGGATGGATGGATGGATGCGATGCGATGCGTGCGCGCCGCCGTGCGTGAGAGCTGGACCGAGGAACGAGGGCCCGAGAAACGAGGGCCAGAGGAGCGAAAGCCAGAAGAACGAAGACCGTCAAGCAGCGAGGACAGACAAAATTCGAGAGCGGTCAACGAGCAATGGAAGACCACAAATGTCGGTCGCTGTCAACGCCGCGCGGTCGCTCTAGCCCGCCCACACGGCACGCTCGGATCGCTCGGATCGCGCGGGACGGCGGGAGCGAGGGTGGGGCGGCTTGGCGGCCGCGGCCTCCGCGGTACAGTACCGTACAAGCACTGCGCACTCCCGATCGCCTTCGGGCGGGCTTCTGCGCGGAGCAAAAGCTGGAGGCTCGCGTGCGCTGATATTGATGCTCGCAGCGGGCTTTGAGGCCAGAGAGGTTGGACGCGCGCCCGCCAACGCCAAGGCGCGATCGGCTTGGCGCGCGTGGGGCCGCTCCCGCCCCCGCTTCATGGCGGCTCGTCCGCTGTTGGGTGGGTTCGGAGCGGGTGATCTTGGGTCCGGGGGAGACGTCGAGCTGTACTTTGGATGCTGGTGTTTGGGGGAGGGTCGCGCATTGTGCGTGCTGCGAGCGGGCGGATTTCGCGGCGCGGCTGTGGTTTGGGTTTGGGTTTGTCTGCTGGGCAAGCTGCTGAGTGAATGTTGTTGTGGGGTGCGTGCAGCGATTGCTTTGGGCTGGCGGATTGCCTTTTGCTGATTGCCTTTTGCTGATTGTGCCTTGAGCCTGTTGCTTGTTAATTGCCTCGCGCTGGCCAGCGACAGGCCGACAGTACAACGAGCTTGATCGTCGGCGAAAGAAAGCTGAAAGCATGTAAGTCCCCCTTTTGCAAGAAAACACGGCTGACGACAGGGGATAGATCATGGAATTGCCCTGCGCAGACCGTCTTGCCAGTTGTCATCCTCAATTCCCATGGGCGAACGTCTTGACAAACCACCCTTTTCAGAGCCCGGAAGTTGATGCTGCCGCCGGCACTCCAGACGACGCCATCAAGGCCGGTCCAGGACTGTGCTGGAAGTGTGTAGTCGGTGCGCCGCCCTCGACGAAGGTGCAGTTCCTGTTGAAGATGACGGTTCAGCCAAAGTGGCCAGGACTGCCCGGCTGGTGACGGCGGTGCTCACGTTGTGCAGCATACGAGGTAGTTTGACGTTTGACGTCCGCTGCTATGGGTTCGCGGTGGTGCTGTCGATCTCCTGAGTGTTGTCTTCACTGCTTCAAAGCGGACACAGAACTGCTCTAGAATCGTGTAAGCCGCGCTCCGCCCTTGACAAAGGCGACTTTCTTGCTGGAGAAGACAGTCAGGGCGCAGCGACTTAGACCGCCTGGCGGATAACCGCGAAGAGCTCAGTTTGTGCGGCGCATGACGGTTTTTGGCGTTTTCCGGCTTGTTTTCGTTGTCGTGGTGTTTAGGTGCCAGTGCCCGCAGCCGCGATTGCTGGAAACTAGTTGTCACGTACCTGCAAGTTCTGTGCTTTGTGTCCATCACTCTACTTGCAAGTCAAGCCGCATACAGATCGCAAATGCGCAAATATGTACTTAGCAAGCTGCAATTTTTCGGAGGTCTACAAAAAGAGCTAGGGATACTGTCGTTCATCCAGTGTAGCGATCAGATCTTCTACTCCATTAGTATAATTCTTCTGCGAGCGCAGCGCCCATGTATATATCCAGAGAACGACCCGAAAGCCCTGAAAGTACTTTTCAACATCGCGTATCGCCCGCCAACAACTTATACCCCAACCGAGAAACCACACCCAGAATGTGGACAGAAACAGCGTGTTATTGGCATCCTTAACAGCGCTCCTTATCAGCATCCACGCCTCGTTATCTCCCGCCTACTCAGCCACTCCCTCACACGGCACCTCCAGCGCTAGCTCCTTGCCGCCAAGATGCGCACGCCAGCCAGCCAGCCCACCCCGCTGTTAACACAGCGTCGACCAGAGCCAATCACCTTCCTCTGCCGCGTCGTAGCGCCTCAACACCAGGCGCACAGGCTAGCCCATCTTTGTCGCCAAGCCGGGTACAGCCGCGTTGCCATGTTATCAGCGCGTACACGATCGCTCTCCAAGACGCCCGGTTTGACATGGGCCTAGCCTCGTCAGGGTATAGAGGCTTCTCGTCTGTGTTAAGGTGTTAAGGCTCATGACGAGACGTGGCAGCATCGCTAGCGGTGTCAGCGCCGTGTGAAGCTTCGGCAGGCCCTTTATAAACTTCCTCCCTCCTCTGGGGGACTTTCCTTCTTCAACTTCTTCTTTCCTTCCTCAACCTCTCCTCGAAGACTTGAAGCTTGACTTCCCTTAGGACTTCGAACTTTCTTCAAGCCTTCGCGACCTTTATAGCTTCGCAAATCCCTCGAGCTTTCGGCTTAACCAACCTCACGTTTATAACCCTCACGTTTTAGAATCCTCACGAGTACAACTTATAAACCGATCACCATGTCTCCCCGTGTCTACAAGACCTCTTCCGCTCGCGTCGCGACCTCCTCCGGCTTCAAGGCTGTGAGTCCATGGTCGCGCCGTTAGTTTGTGATTCCGCTACACTGATACATATCCAGGGCATCTCTAAGAAGACCGTGAGCCATGCTCGTCCAGTTATCAAGCTGAATGAAGTGGTAAGGCGCCTAATCTCTAGAGTTCAAACTTTGGAAGCCTTCGTCACTGACTATTTCTGAAGGCTGCCATCTTGCGCCCACAGTTCGGATACGGTTCTCCTCGGGCTGTTGGCAAGCCCAAGACCACCCCGAGCCCCGTCACCAACATCGCTCTTAACTTCGAGCGATTCGAAGCTAGGCAGCGTGACCGCATGGACGTCGATGGGGCGGACTATCACCACGAGCCCATGGACATCGATGACGACTGCGTCATCAGACTCACGAGGCAGCTCGAAAGCCTCGCCATCGCCGAGCCGAGCCCCGTCATCGGGGGTCCTTCTCGCGTCTACCAGTTCAGCTGCACGAAGCTGACACCGACCAAGAGCATCCCGGCGAACGCGCCGAACGCCGTCACTGCTCCGGCGAACACGAACGGCATCGTGCCGTTCAACATGATCTCCATGGCTTTCTAAAGCCATGAACCGCATGTGGCAGGGCAGCAGTTAGTTCTGCCCATGATCGGGGGCTCGGGGCCCCTACCAACAGCAACAAACTACCTCCGTTGCTGACACCGGAGAACATCGAGCCGGAGAACATCGAGCACGACCGCCGAAAAGGCGTGCTCCAAAACCACCAGACGCACACGACGCGTCCACTGAGCGGCTTCACAACAATACGCCAGCTCGCAACACGACCGGGTGACACCTCTTCATACGGCTGGTCACCATCATCACATTATGAGCAGGCTGCCCCAGCGTCTCTTAGTAATCTTTGGATTCGACCACTTCGACACCTCTTTATATGGCCGGTCGACTTGAGAAACGATCAATGAAAATGGCGGAAAACTCAAATTTTTTTTAAAAAAAAGACGACTTCAAAATTTCTGGCTGTTGCTGTGCTACGCACATACGCGGCTTTTCAGTTTCGGTTCCACTGCTCAGCGCACTGCTGCGCTACACCTCGCGTGGCTCTCTGGGCCTTTCCCTTACTCTTACTGCTTTATTTGTTGCTCCGCGCGCTGTCAACTTGCACACTGTTGCGCTACACACATGCGCGGCCTTTCGGTTCCGGTTCGCTGCTGCTCTACACAAGCGCGGCTCCTCAATTCGGTTTTCTCTGCTTCTACTGCTTTTTTGACCGCGTCTTCTCGCTGCACTGTTGCTTCTGTTATTTCATGCTTCCAGCTCCGACTTCAAGATCTCAACCCGAAAAACCGAAGAACACCTACAACCACCAAGCCCCGGACAGAAAAAAAGAACCAACTCGGCCAACACCCTCCTCCTTATCCAACACCCACACCTTCCTTCACCTCACCAACCAACCAACACCAACCACACACACACACACAAACAACCTTACAAACCCGTACCCCAGCCTGCCGCTCGCTGTTGCGCATTCAGTGCGTATACGAGCGACGCAGCGGCTGGGGCGCTGTGGCTAACTCCTGTTGTTGCGCTTTAGGCGTGGACCTGCGGGATGTACGCTGCTTGGGTAGTGGGTTTGTTTGTGCTGCTGTGCTGGTGATGGTGGTGATGGTGGTGGTGGGTTATTGGGGGAGTTTGGGCGGTGGAGGAATTTGGAGGGGTGCGGGGGTTTTGCTGGGTGTTGAGATTTTGTGCTGTTGGGTTTTGGCTTCTTTGATTTTGGGTTCACGCTCTCTGGCTTCGTGTTCTTTGGCTTCGTGTTCTCTTCTTCTCGCTGATTGGCTTCATGCTCCCTTGCTTTTTGGTTTTCGGCTTTGGCTTGATGTGGCAGCTTTGAGGCTTTGAAATGGCGCACTTTGGCGCTGTTGACGTTTTAGATCTGATTATGGTTCTTGGCTGATGTTCAAATTGGATTGGATTGGATTGGATTGGATTGGATGCGCTGAGTTGGGCTGGGTTCTTTCATTCAGGTTGCGATGGGCTGCGAGGTTTGGGAGTGTTTCTGTGGTTGGCGGCGGTGATGTTGGTGGAGGTTAAGGTTTTTGATTCAGAATTAGACTGGTTATGCTGGCTTGTGCAGTTGAGTGTGTTGTGCATTTGGTGACAGAGGCGGCGGTGGTGGTGAATTCATCAGCTTTGTTTCATTGGCGCTGGTTCATTCTCAAACACGGGTTATTTTTCTTCGTTTCTTCTCTTGGTCTTTTGACTGGGTTCTCTGGTTTGGGGTTCCATTTGATGGTGGTGGTGGATGGATGGATCAGATAGGCGGAAATTGGAATCTAGCTTCTGGGAGGCTGGTGATGCTATGCTTAGTATTCCTATTGGTTGGGCTGGGAGTTTGATTTGGGGTGCACTTCGTGCCTTTTCGAGATGCATGCGCGAGTGTTGTTGGCAATGAAGCGAGCGGGCTGCGGAGGTGTAGAGTTTATACGCTAAGAGCACAGCGCAAGAAAAACTTACATATTGAGGAGCAAGTTTAATTAGATCTTATTATTCTGTATATTAAAGAATAAATCTCTTGCACTCGTATATAATCTTCTATCTGTAACACCCGGCTGTCGCCGCTTAGTGAGTGATTATTTTTTCCGCCGCCAATCTCTGAACCATGGTACAATTGTCCTGCGAGGAAGTGCTTATACGGGGCTGCTAGTTATTCTAGGTGTAGGGAGCTTAAGAAGTATTGGACTATCAGGCCATGTTTCTTCATGCATGATTCTCTATATTCACTTTACTTTTTTGTTGCTTCAACACCCTACTATTCCCCTATTACTTTCTATAAGCGAGCAAATGACTACTCCACCTCTTCATTTATATAAAGCTCGCTGCCAGACACTCTTTCAAAATCAAGCCGTGTTCTCTCTTCACTCGCACGGTTTCAACCATTCAATCCAACAAGAAGGAATTATGGTCAAAGTCTCGAGATAAATCCCCCTTCGCAATATAGAATCACTGCGCTGCACCCTCCTCATATGCAGAACCTGCACTACAACACCCGCACTGCTACGCGAACGCAACCCGTCCGGCAAGGCGGCACGTAGGAGCGCATACCGCGGCGCGCATCGTCTGAGGGTTGAGCGTAGGAGGTGTGGGAGCTCTCTACGTTTGTTTGCGGCAGCGACTGCTGCCGATGGGCGGGGGTGCTGGGAGGTGAAACCGTGGTTCGTGAGCTGTGCTGGGCATAAAGCCCGTAAGAAGGCACTGCATAGCGGAAAGGTGACAGCTCGGCTGCAGGGAAGGAGAAGGCAGGGGAGGTAGGGGAGCGTTGTGGCCTTGCGTGCGGCTTTGGCTGTAGCAGTCGCAGGAGATCAAGGAACTGGGGCTTGGGAGGGAAAGATCAAGGATGGGTCGGAGATGGGCTATAGTCTGTAGCAGGAAACGCATGCTGAGGGGGCTGCTGTATACGAGCGCAACGGCGGGTTGTAGAAGTTGGTGTATGCGCTGTTGGAGCTGTGGAGAGAATGCATATGGCGGAGGGGGCGCAGGGAAGACAGTAGGTAAGAGAGTATGTGGACATGCGGCCGGATAGATTTTAGGCGTAGAAGACACTGGCCGCCCAAAACACAGCACCGAAAATACAATCGCAACAAGCTCATCCTCAAAGTCCCGCACAAGGCGAGTCCATCAATGAAAAGCCAAGAAGGAGTCTTCAGAGAAGACTTCTCAGAAAAAAAGATTCCAAAAATTCCCCACCGATCCGAAAACCAGCAGAAGCAGTCAAAGTGTAGTTTTCAACTAGCAACGACGCAACCTCGGACGAAATCCTCACTGGTCTGCGTGATGCCCTTGCACTAGGATGGAGGAAAAAGAAGAGGGTTTGGTGGGGGTGGAGGGGGTTTATATGCTGCTTGTGGTGGGGACGTGCGTGCGCGAGGGTCGGGGGTGGTGAATGGGGTGGGGTGGGGGTGGCTTGGGGGTTGGAGGAGTGCTGGGGTGCTTGTTGGGCGCGGAGGAGGGTGAGTGAAGGTGTAACGGCCTTGGATTTTTGGTGGCGAGCAGTTAGTTCTTCTCTGCCCTTGCTCTTGTATCCGTGGGCCGCCGCCGCAATTGCCACTGCTCAAACCTCCGCAACTCTCCTGGATACCGCGATGATGCAGCAAATGATCACATCTATGCACCGTTACGGGCGTTGGTGCTGTCTGTAACAAGTTCGGCTCCGGCTCCTAATTACAAACCCGCCGCTCGACACAAGCCTTCTCCAGCAGCAGCGTGCTCGGCAATCCATTCCAGTATATCCAGGCGGCAGCAGCGACAACGGGGTTGGCAAATGGGAGAAGGTCCTGAAGTGCAGCAGCGCGGTGCTGACCCTGCGGGGCCCAGCTGGTGCGGGTGCGAGGAGCGCGGGGAGTCGCGAGGTGCGGAGGCAGCTGTGAACGCACCTATGCGACGTTAGTGGCATGGTCATATTCGGCAGAAGTAGAAGTTCAAAACCTGCCATGCTGCAGATGCGCCCGCGCTCTGCGGGTTTGTCGTGCAAATATGTGGCCCTCAGGGGGCAGTGATCGGGTGCCGGATATCTGGGGGAGGAATAAGTCGATTTCCCACTGCGAGTAGAGCGATAACAGGACTCTCTAGTAGGCTCAGAGACCTGGTCGCTCCGTCGATGTGCATGCTGGCGTTCGTGTCATTGTTGCTGCCTGCCCGGCGTGGCCGTGGCCGTGGCCAGTGGGTGAGTCATCAGTGCAAACCAGGCAGCGACCACCACGAGGGGTTATAAACCCCAACCGCGAGAACAGCTTTCGCCTTCGGGCATTTGGTCAATTTGAAACGATACAGAGAAGATTAGCATGGCCCCTGCACTAAGGATGACACGCTTAATCAAAGAGAACTCCCAGTTTTTTTTTTTTTTTTCCTTTTTGGGAAAATCCATAGGAGCTGGGTGGGCCGGTGTTCAATTCTCGCTGTTGCCTGCTGCCTTGCCTGCTTTTACTTCCTTTTTTGCGGACTGCAATGGTGGCTGCAACGCCGCTTTTTGCGCCGTGGCCCTGCGATATGTCTTTCAACGTGCTCCGGCTAACCTCATACTTTATCACTTCATCCACGAATTCGCCATCACGAACTCACCACTATGCGCCGGCTTTTCAACTTCAGCACCCTCTACCCATATCCAAGCAATCGCTTTTTGACGCTTCGCCCACCCTCATGTCTACGATCACACCGCCTCCCTGGCTCCATCACCATCACTGAAAGAGCAACATATTGCACAAGCTTAAATCTATTCCCCGAATCAACCTGACATCACAACAGTGCCGCCGCTGACCTCCAAGCAAGCAGATAGACCTACCATCCACTTCTGAGATTACCGCTCCAGCCCTCCGATCCCTTTACCAAGCCCCACCAGCCTTCCAAAGCGGCATCCTCCTGCCCGCGACGGCCCAGGTTGCCCTGCACAGTGTCAAAACTACGCGCGTCAGCGTCGGCGTCGCGCAGGAATGAGAGTACAGCTGTGCGACCCTCATCATCTCGTGGCCTGGTGGAGATCCGGTGGCACCTGTTGGCAGGATGGAAGGCAAATCTAAGCGCACGATGGAACAGCCTCCCAATCGTGCCCTTCTTGGAGAGTACTGCGGCAGAGGTGCCATAGACCTCGGGAGTAGCTCTATACGCCTACAAACCGCCAGGCCAAGTCCCTACACGCATACAGTCCACCCATCTTCCTCTGCCTCACCCCACTACGAGTCCCAAGAACCCTCTCGCCCACACAGCATACCACTCCATCTACCCACTTCATCGAAAGCACAGCTGAGAAATGCAGCGTGCTGTGAATAACGGAGAGCGTGGCGTGGTTTGAAGGACCCGGAAGCGCTCAGTTTGTGGCTTGGGGAAGGAAGCGCGGACTTGGCGGGGAGGGGTGGTGGTATGTGACGCCGACCGACTCCAATATTTTGCACCGGTCACCTCCCTTATACCAGCGAACGCACTTCCGCCACGTCCACTCGCGTGACCGCGCCTCGAGGACAGGCGCCAATCTTGGAGGAACCAACTATGAAGTCACTGAAGACAAGCTTCCTTGGGAGGTCCAGCGAAAGCGCTATTATGGACTTGATTATTCCGCTCGTTCGAAGAGCTCCGAACACAGTAGCCCGCGGTATGGCGCGACACTGGTTACGCTGGCGGCGCATTGCCAGGGTGATGACTGATGAGAGATAATTGTTCAGAGGCCTTTGTTCTCGAGCACAAAGAAGACGCATCGGCATGTGAGCACAGAGTGGAAGTCAAGGTCCCACACAATGGAATGCATGCGCTGACGCTGTCTCGTAGTTGTCCTCTATTATGGGCTTTCTCGGCCAAGTCCGAGCCAATCGGGCCATCATCGCCCCTCAGTCTCCGCCCCAAGCTGAAGCACATAGGCGACACGAGTCGAAACCAGCCTGTCCTCGACAGCACATACTTCGATAGCTCAAGACTGGCTTTGCTCCCGGCGCAGCTCGAAACCCATAAACGCGCTGAGAACCCTACACCCAACAACCAAACCAGCCCACCAGGCCAAAATTGCTGCTGCCCTCCCCCGCTTTCTGTCCTCGACCTCGATTTCTACTGATTGGCATTGGAGCAAGGAGATCCACGACGCGATAAGGATAGACAAGTTGCTGTGGTCGAGTTGCGAGTGGAAGTGTCATCCAGATCTGGGGCTGCATACTTGTGTGGTAGTGAATGGAGGCAAGGAAGCGGGTATTTGGAACAAAGACTGCAGCCTGCGTCCATTGTCGCCAGGACAAGAAGCTGACGGAACGGGTACAACTGCCGGTCACTCTCCCTCTGTTTATTTCGATGCTGGCGAGGCTCAGGTTGAGAAACCTGGAATCTCCGGCCCAAGGAACACGCGAAAGGTAGCTGGTAGAGAGGAAAGCCGATCCACTGCCGCCGTACAGCTTTGTTAAGAGACATCCCCGAAATACTGGATCAAATACTTCACCCAAACTTAAAACTAGACAGCCATATCCGCGTCCTCATCAATTATTGACGTCCATCTGCCTTACCAGCTGCATTCTAGCCGGGCCGCACCCATCAGTGATCAGGGCACTTTTCCTTTACTGCACCGTTGCTTACTCGACCCCGAATCTTGATTCCCCTCTCGAGCTTCTATCCAGCTATCCACAGGAAATATAAGTCCAGTAATCGCCCCCATCCTATTCTCCTGCCGTGATCACAGACCCTAGCGACCGCAGTCCTCGCACCTCCGGTTGGCTTTGAAGTACTTTGTTACGCCCCTCTGCAGCAGTGCTCAGTGCCGGCTGGGCTAATGATTCTAGCTTGCTTACTGTGTTGTGTGCGGGTATTGGGGAGTGTGTAGATATCGGTGTAGTCACTTCGGGGTCGAGGAGTAGATGTTTTCTTGAATGAGGTGCTTGGTAGTGGTGGTATGATCGGGGCTTCCAGGGCGGGTCATTGAGTATTGCGATCGCTTTCGGGGGTGGCGAGTGTGTTTGTGTGTTTGGTTCGTAGTGGGAGGGGCTTCGTGTGGCGATGTCTCGGTGGTGGTGGTTGTTTGGGATGTCGTTTCTTTGTGGCAGATCTGGTCGAACTGGTTAGCATAGTGCTACTGACTTCTTGCGAGGGTTATCGCCTTGGAGTGAGACGAATGGGATAGTTCCTGGGGATTTCTCTTCATGTTTGGCTGCTCCGGGCGTGATGGCAGAGAATGTAGGGTGTCGAACAGTGGTAAGGAACATTGTCTTCGTACAGTGAGCAATTACCCAGAAGAGCACGGCACACCTGATAGGCGTAGTGCTGCTTGTCGGGCTAAGATGCAGCTCTCTGGCCTTTGGAGACTTCGCTGGTGGACGTTCGGGGTAGGATTGATGGATAGAACCGTCGGACATCAGTCAGTGATGCTGCATTGCATATTGAAGGTGTAGATGCCGTTCTTGCTGCTATAATGGCAAAGCAGAGTGATGTTGCTGGGGGTTGTGGTAGGTCGGCCCCAGCTGTGGCGTAACACACTGTCGGGGCCCTGTCTTGCCTCCTCGTGCCTGCCCCCCACGTGTCACTCACGCGCCTGCTTCTTACGGGATGCGTACTAGCGCGCTGCCCACGTGCCTACGCTTAAATATTCTCTCCCGCCCACACCCTCCTCTTTTCCTCTCCTCTTCACCCCCACGACGCGTCCGCTCTACGTTGACTTGGCTTGCCTTCGTTGAGCCTGCCTTCGGCTGCTAAGCCTTCTCTTCGCTGCCTTCAGCTTCGTTTCGCTGCCTCCTTGTCACTGCGTCGCAGTTCAACGTCCTTCGTCACACGTCCTCCGTTACACGTCCTCCGTTACACGTCCTCCGTTACACGTCACCTCACCTTCACCTTATCTACAAGATGGCGCCTGCTGTCCCAACTGCTGCTCAGCCGGCAGTGACCCCAGTCAACACCTCACCTCCCACTGGCGACATCCATGACCCTCGTGTCTTGTCCGGCTACTTAGTTGGCGGCACCGTTGCCCTCGTCCTCGCTTTCGGCATCTGTCTCAATGCCTACCTGGGTATCCGCAACTTCTTCCGCAGGCGTCAGGCGCGCCGCGAGAAACGTTTCCTCGATCAGCACCATGCTCTTAGCCAAGCGAGAGAGCAGCAACTCCACGAACGCTATATCGCTGCCCTTGATGACCATGCTAAGCGCACCGCTGCTGCCCTTGCGACTATCAGCACCGGTGGTGACATCGAACTCGCGCAACTCAAGTTTGGCGGCGCCGGCATACAGCTAACTCCCAACGCTCCTCTCGGCCCCAGACCCTACAATGGCCCCGTGACCAGCCTCGGTAGACCGATCCCTCCCGAGAAGTATAACGGCCCTAAGACAAGCCTTGGCAGACCCATTCTCGCCGCCACTCCTGGTCCTTCCATGCCCAAGCCGACCAACACCTCTGGCTTCACCAGTCTCGGAAGGCCCATTGCAGAGATGGACATGCCTCCGAGGCCTACAGGTCCTGTCCCCACTATTACTCCGCAGTACAGCACATTCCCCCGTGTCAACTACTCCCCTGGACGCCAGCGCTCTGCTACGACCGTCAGCAACGGCAGCTCTTCCAAGCTGAGCCAGAAGAGTAAGGCCAGCAACTCCAGCGCGCCGCCCATGCCACCCCTGCCTCACATGGACAAGACCTTGGCCGCCATCATTGCCGAGGGCAACCAGAAGGCCAAGGAGGAAATGGACCGTGTCCGCGTTCCCCATGCCATCACCGTCTCTGGCGCAAGACACACGCCCATTGTGGTCCCGTCGACGGCCACCATGATCGCTATGGACAACAGCGACATCCCTACTGACATGACCAACCTGTCCAAGATCGCGTCGACGCAGCGTGGTGTCGGTACCTCGAACCCTGCCATTGAGGGCTATGGCATCGGCGCGAGCTATGGTGGCTCCTATGGCCATACTACGGGTGGTTACAGTAACCACAATTTGCGCGGCGCCTACATCGAGGGCCTCCCGTACACGCCGAGAGGCCACAGGCGTCTGACTTAAGCAAGTCCATGCGCATGTTCTCGAGCGTGGCTTGATGCTACGATTGACCTTCTTCTCTCCTTGTTGGGCGAGCATTCTCATCTGTAAGTCCTTCTCCTCTCCCTTTCCTTCTAGTGTCAAATGCCTAGACGCATCTCACTGACGCAGTCAGCTCCACAGGGCTCACTCATTTGGAATTCTTCCTGGCTGCTGGTCTTCTAGCACACGCAGCATGCATGCATGCACGCTTTTTCCTTTGTCTACCTCTGCACAGCACACGACTCTCCTTGCTTACACATTCAGCCGGCCAGCCGTCGCTTTCATTCTCCCACTGTCCAATCAGCTACTCAACGTCCTCATCGCACGTTGCTCTCTTCTCTGCTGCTTCACCGGACTCGAGTCATGAACACACATCAACGATCAACACGAGCTGGCCTCAAGCATACCAACACATGTCTGTGTAGCTTTTGACAACTTACCTTTCCTCTTGGTGCATATCCTGCCTTACCTTCTGGGGTATACTTTTGGGATGCTTGCATGCATACATGGACGCATGGGCTATGAAAACCTGGTGATGGTGATGCTCGAGCGATTTCTTGTTTTGTTTGCTGCTTTCTTGCTTCCTTTGTTGCTTTCTACTCTCTTCTTCTAACTTCTGGCTTCTACCTTCTGCTTCTTTCGTCGATACTTGCTCAGCCTCATGTGAGGCTTAATCACTCTCTTTGTTCTTGTTGTTCATAATTTTCCTTTCTTTCTTTTTCTTTTCTGCTTTTTTCCTTTCAGACTTTCGTTTAATAATCGACATGAGTACACAATGAACATGAACATGGAAACATGCGTAGACAAAACTAGAAAATAAATGAGATGGTGACGTCTTGTTTGCAACTCTTCTGCACAGCTGTGATATGCGTGTATATATACGGTTGTGAGTGCCTTCGTGTGCTTGCGTAGCTGCTATAGCTATCCGCCCTTATGCTGCTTGCTCCGCTCCCATGCCCGTGGGTTTATAAGTCCGTAGAGAGTATGTCGGGGCCCTCGCTGTGGTTGCAATGGAAGAGGACGAAGGGGACGAAGAGTGCTATGGTGGCGGCTAGGGTATAATCCTAGTACCACAGCTGCAGAGAAGTATAGAATCCGGTACCGAAACTGTAAAGACGTAGCCGGGGGGTCGAGTAAGATGTACTACTATGGCCTTGAAGGGTGGATAGCGTAGTGCTAAGCGTTCGATTCGTGGTAGCGGGGGCTCTAGGAGAGAAAGTAACTGTTTGATATATATAGGGTTGATGTTATAGCTGTAGAGAAGCGGAGGGATAGCTACTATAGCTGTAAGAGTGCGTTCGGAGGGTTGGG